CCGGCCGCCCCAGGAAACAGAGCTCGGTGGCGCAGGGGGTGTTTGCGTTAAATGCCACATTTATTTCAGAACCGAACAAGCCTCAGGTGCACGCGGACGGCTGGGACCCGAGGCGCCAACCCCCGGGCACAGGGCAGGGAGGGCCCGGGGGTGCCGCCATCACCGGCAGGGACCAGAGGGCGTGAAAGGTGGCCTCCCTTCTTTGCAGGCCCCCACCCTCCGTGCCGCCATCCCCCTGAGACGTTTCGCTCCCGACGGGGCTCACAGTCACGCCTAAACCTTGTGTTTGCAACCCTTGTCCCAGGGGGCTGTGGCGGGGGAGGGGGCGGGTGGACAGGGACCCGGCTGGGGGATTGTGTGGTGCTGGCAAGAGCAGAGCTGGTAAGACAGCAAGCGTTTGCCTACGAGCGGGGGATGTCCCATTGCAAGCCTCCAGTGAGCAGCCATGTCTCCCTTGGCCCTGAGGATAGCGGCCGCCAGCCGAGCTGGCTGCTCTGCAGGTTTGCTGGCCTCAGGCATGCTTCAGCTCTGGCTGGAGGATGCCCATCCCACAGCCACCCCTCGCCTGTGGCACAGGCAGCGTTGCCTGGCCTTGGCCGGTGAGCCTGTGTCTGGTCCCTGGCAGACACGGGTCCTGTCTCTGCCAGAAGCTGCCTCTGCCCTGGAAGAGCCTCCCCTCTTCTTCCCTAGGGCACCCACCGTTTCCACCTCTAGCCCCTTACGTTGACATTTAGGATGGTAGCACATAGTCCTCGCACAAGAGCCGGGATGTTGCAGCCTGGGGCCCTGCTTCACCCCGGCCACAGCTCTGCCCCTCCACGCCCCAAGATGGGCACCTCTCCCTCCATGAAGGGCACAAGTCAGCCTCCAGGTCTCTAAAACAGATCAGAGGGGGAACAAAACCCCAGCTTGATGGTGAACTTGTCCTGGGCAGGCAAGCTGCCGTCTCCCTAGGGAGCAGGGCTGGGAAGAGCAGCTCTGCTGTGGCTTTGGCTGGAGCAACAGGGTGAGACACCCAAGGAGCTGCAGCAAGGCTGGGAAGAAACGGGCAGTGGCTCAGGAAGGATCCTCAAACTATTTCCCTAAGCTAAAACTCAAGCTGAAAAGTGCCTAACATGCAGCGAGGGGGGGGGTCCCTGCAAGCCTCTGCCCACCTGCCATGTCCCTAACCTGTCCGTGTCCCCCACGACACCAGCATAATGAGAAGACAGCACCATCTCTGACACACACACACACACACACACACATCACAGACAGCGTGGGGAGGTGCAGCAGAGCCAAGGCGCAGCCGTGCTGTGCGAGGGAAGGTTCAGCCACGAAGGCATGACAGCAAAGCTGGGAGGGTGCCTGGGAGGTCCGTGGAAGAAGATGCTCACCTTCCCACCCGGAGCTGTGCCAGATGCTGCCAGCCGCTCGGGAAGCCCCAAATGAAAGCACCCCCCCATGGGTGAGAGATGGGAGAAGGAGGAGAGGGAGAGCTGCTGCTGGGGGAGGTGAGAAGTGGTGATGGCTGGAGGAGGAGGTCTTTTCAGCGAAGCCACTTCCACCCTGGGAAGCCTCCTGGATCAATGCGCTGATGGAGGCAGGGTGGGAAGGAGGTGGGCGCTTGCTTCTGCAGCAGGGGAAGAGGAGTGAGAAAATGCCAGCTACAACAGTAAAAAGAAGCCCCATCCCCTCCCCGACGCTCTCCTCTGCTCCTCAGACCTGCTTCAAGCCTGTCATGCTTCCAGGAGAAGAAGGGATGGGACAGCCCTTTTAGGGAAAGGGAGACAAGGATCCTGTGGATTGGGACGGTCATTCCTAGCCCTGACTCCTGGGGAATTTTCCCATCTGGCTTTGTAAGCAACTGGTGAACCTCCACACTCCCCATCATCTGCCCCCGGGGCTCCCAAGCTGGGATAGTGGAGGGCATCCGCATGCTTTTGGTTGGGAAGGACAGCCTCACACCAGGTGGCAGGCTGAGCTGTCCCCAAAGCCCTCCTTTTCCCTTCAGCAGAACCAAGCTCTGAAGCAATGGTGATTTATCCACATGGATGTGGGTGCTGTGGGGCATGCGGAGATGGTGGACTCCCCACCTCCAGAGGTAGATGGGGCAGGTATGAATTGCCTCCTTTGGGAAGACACGGTGGACCGTCCAGTCACCACTGAGGAGAAGTAGCTTAAGCTGCAGGGGGGACAAAGCATAGGGTTGGGGAAGGGCCAAGAACGAGGGCGAGAGTGCCACCGCCACCAGGCACATGCCAGGGATGTCCCAGGGAAGGCATCTCTGGGACCCTAGCCCACCACGAAGGCTCTCCCCTGACTGGGGGAGGCGTTGTCTAGGGACCAGGACCCAACTTATGGGGTTTTTTTAACATAAATAGAAATAAATACTTTATAAATATCATCTTAAACTACTGACACCTGATCTTACTCTGCCATCTCTTGCAGAAACATCAAGAAACTAGGAAATTCCCATACCTAAACTACCACTTTCCCTTCGTGTGGAGGCAATTCCTCCTGCTGTCCCACCTCCGAGCTTTAGCGCACTCCCACCTCTGTAGATCAAAGATCAGCTTTTGGCCAAAAACACCCTCCTTCGCCCCCTCCCCTCCAACAGAGACCTTTCTGGAGCATTACAGATGGTGTGACATGAAGGTCACCCATGGGGGGATGGGCAGAAGATGGCATGCGCGCAAGAAATCCTGCGCAGACGGGTCGAGGCTTTTGCAGCTACGAACAGAAGTGAGTTTCCCCCTTGAAGGTGTGAATCAAGACAGATTCTTCCATGGAGCAGACAGCTGGGGCAGCAGATGGTGTGAGAGATCAGACGTTAACATGGGGAGTCTTGAGACAGAATCAGCAATCTTGATCCTGCTGGCAGATGGATGAGGTGGAAGGTGGTTCTCAGGTTAGATTCTTGTCTGGGCTGTTCTCCTTCTGGACAGCTTGGATCTGATTTGGAAAACAAGAGACAAAAATGTGTCAGAGATATAGTCAAGGAGAGGTGTGGTCCCCTAGGTTTGGTGTCCTGGTGCTTGAATCCAGCCAGAGCTGGAGGGACAAGGGACTAATGTCTCTTCAGCCACAGCACATAAATTTCTGTGCATTTACTCCTATTCCCCTAGTCCTGACACTCGAGATGGTCAAAGAACTTCACAAGATGTGAAACCAACTGTACGAGATGCTTTGAGAACTGCATGAGATGCTCTCAAGAACAGCGAAGGGCCAGTATCCCTGCTGCCAGACATGGATGTTGCTTTGAACTCAACACAACATCGCCTCTGTACCAGCCAGAATTTGGACTGAAGCATTTAAGTGGGGAAGAGCTGAAATAAAGATTAATACAGTCCAAGTTTTGCTGGCTGAGAGCCCATCCAGGCACAGCTCTCTGCAGCAGGTGCTCCCGAGGCCTGGGAGAAGCGGGGAGAGCACTGGGACCAGGGCAGAGAGCACGCTTGGCTGCCCGTGAACACCCCCCCCACCAACAGCTTCCCTGCACCCTGCTTCCACCAGCTGCCCCCGGTACCTTATGGACCCAGCCAGAAGGGGGTTGAAGGCGTAGAGCCAGTCGTGCATGTCCTTGTCACTGCTTGCCTGCAGCAGGATGCCTCGGTGCTCCGTGCACACCGCAAACGTGTTCGGGGTCTGCTGAGGGAGAGCCAGGGCTGAGTCCCTCACCCAAAGGGTTGCACGGAACAGGTCTGGCTGTAGGTGCCCTACCTTGAGCATGGCCTGCTGGTCCTCACTGTATTCCACCTGGGCCTTAGAGAGGTTGAGTATGGCCCTCTCGACCGCATCCTTGTCCGAGTTGTAGATGTAGACATATGGGCGCCGGACCACCACAAAGCGCTTCACCCACCCATTGGTGTGGGGCTCCAGGAAGTGCAAATAGCCCTTTTTGGAGATGATGGGGCTGCAGAAGGGACCGAGGTCAGGGTGGGACAGACTGCAAGGAATTGGCAAGGGAAGGGTGCATCCCCCCAGCCCCAAGGTGCTCCCCTTGCTGGCTGCCTCAGCCACTCCTACCTGACCCGGATCTCCTGGATGTCAGGCACCAGCAAACGCTGGGGCTCCTTCTCCTCCTCAGGCCGGCGGGCCGGGGACTTCTTCTGCTCTCCTTCTACTGCAGGCTCCAGGTCAGGGCTCTCTGCCCTGGAGGAGACCTGGGGGGATCTGGAGAGAGAGGAGGGACTGGGGTGTAGGAAGAGTGACAGCTGGGGAACACCCATTGACCAGGACCACATCCTGGTGGTACAGCTGCCCCGTTTGGTGGATGCTGGGGCATCACCTGAAACTCCTGGCCACTTCTTACCTGACCTCCATGGCATTGTAGCGTCCTTCCACCAGCGATGGGCAGGTCGAGGAAGGGGTGAGAGTGGTCACCCCAAGAGCTGGCATGGAGGGGTCCCTCATCAGGGTCACAGACATTTCGGACAGCTGTGGAGGAGCAAAGGTGTGGACTTGAGTTTCCACCTGAAGCTGCGCACAGGCAAAGGACCAGGTGCCTGCTCATATGGGGAGAGGCAAGACCTCTGGCTGGTGGAGTCCTCTCCTGGCACAGTCCCCAGAGCCACCAGCTCTGGGAACACCAGAGGGAGCAGGAACTACTCGCACCATGGATCCGATTTAACCCCTGTCCAGCCAGTTTCCCCCTGGCAACACGTCCCTCCCAGCCTGGCAGAGCCCAGAGCAGCAGCGGTACCTTGCTCTCGCTGGCACTAATGCAGACGTGGCTGTGGCTGTACTCCCTGTTGAAGGTGTGCGTCAGCAGGCGCAAGCACTGTGGAGAGAGAAGGAGGACAGTGGGGCAGGAGGCACCTTCCTCTACCCTCTTCCTCCCACTTTCTCCTGCCGCAAGCCCCTGCCACCCTGTGGGAGCCCCTTCCCAGCTTCATCCCTGTGAGCTGGAGGATGGTACCTTCACGGCTAGCTCCTTCTGCCGCTCACTGGGGGTCTCGGGGAGAGAGCTGCGGCCCTCGGGGGGCCCATCGACAGAGAGTGGGGAGGAGACGCAGGATGTGCTTCGGGACTCAGAGTCCTCACTGGAGCAGGGGGACAGGGTCTCCAGGGCCAGGCGCTGTGTGGTCTCCAGCTTCTCACGCAGGAGCAGGTAGTGCCTTGTCTTCTCCACCTGGGCACAAGCAGACAGGCTCAAAGTGGGCCCTTCCCCCTGCTGGCATCCTTTTGGGGAATGGCTTACCAGGTCCCATTAACCCCACCCACTCATTAGCTTTGGGTCTGCTGGGACCCGGCTAGCAGCTACGCAACAGGAAAGCACCAGTGGCACGGCCCCACTCCTGCCTCCTCCTGAAACTGGGAGGGCTGAGACACCTGCGGCGGGGAATCCACCGGCACTGCCAGGGCGAGGGGCTGAGCTGCCAGTTGCACTGTCTTGGCCTGTTTCTAGCCCAGACTCTTACTTCTTGCAAGAGGCTGAGTTTCTCCAGCTCCCACTGATGGTCGAGGATGAGGCTGTCGCTGCGGGGCCGCCACCCAGCCAGGTTCTCCTCTCCCCGCACATAGGCTACGGAGGTGTCCAGGACACGCCGGCGCCGTCTCTGCATGCCTGCAGGGACAGACACACAGCTAGGGGGACAGACGCACGACCCCGACCCTGACCGCCCTGCCATGTCTCCTGGTCTCGTGGTGAACCAGCCAAGCAGAGTCACGGCACCCACCTGGGCTGCCAGTGTCAGCCACGCGGCAGAGGCTGAGCTCGTAGACTCCTGTCACACGGTTGCTGTGAGCAAAGGGAGACAAGGCATTACCAGCTTTGCCCCATCTCCATGCCCCAGTTATTTTGTCCAGGCTGCTGGGATGCCCCAGGAGGGCTCCAGTCCCTGGGACTCTCCTCCCCTAGAAAGGCAGGAGGATCCTGGTACCTCTCAGAAGCTCGCAGGCTGCCACTGCCAAAAAGGTTGCGGATGGAGCGAGAGGCAGGAAGCTTGGCATCCCGGGAGTAGAAAACCATGCAGAAATCTTTGGTGATGACAGCAGGCTGAGTGCAGTTCTCCATCTGCAGCAGGGCAGGGGGAGAGGCATCAAGGTGGCTGTGGCTTGGCAGCCCAGTGGGTCTCTCCCACCCTTGGTGCCCAGCAGTTCCCACTCCCGGGGTCCCATAGGGCCCCCAAGCACCAGGTTGAATCCTGCACCCCATTAGTATCAGTGCTAGCTAAGGAGGGGGTCACGCTGGCTGCACTCCAAAGGTGGGGGAGATACCAGACTTTGTTGGCGCTATAATTGCTCTGACTAAATTCCTTGCCTCGATGTAGGCGGAAAGGGTGATGTAGATTTTCTCCCGGTACGGGGTGACGCGGTTGAGCAGCAGCGAGTTGTGCATGGAGCTATCCCACGCCGTCTCAAACTGGTAGAAAGTCCTGCCGAAAAAAAATAGCACAGCCAGTAAAACAACCTCCCCCCAGACTCCAGGCAGGCGAGCAAGGAGATGCCATCATCCCTCCCCCCCCACCCCCGCAGCGCTGCAGCAGGCCTGCAAAGACACACAGACATGCACGCGCTGGGGGGACAGATGGGGACAGCCACTCCAGAGGACGCAGGCTCAAGGCAAAGGGGGACAAGGCGTGGCAGGAGGGGGACGCGGCGCCCTCGAAACGGCCGATCGACTGGGTTTTGAGGGAGAAGGGACTGCAGGAGGAGTGGGGGCTCAGCTGGGGTGCAGGCAAGGCAGGGCAGGCTGGGAAGGCAAAGGAGGGCAAAGGAGGGTGTGTGCCCCAACCCCATGCTCAGAGTGGAGGGCTGCTACCCCCAGCGAGCCTGGGACAGGTCCTGGCCTCCTGGCCCCTGCCAGGAGTAGCTGTTGCGTTCAGGTGACGATGGCCAGAAGGGAAAAGAGGAAGGATGCTCAGCACTGGGGGGTTGCTGCCAGTCCGCCCCTGGGAGAGCAGCACCCCACTGCCAGCCAGGCACCCTTCCCCAGGGCCGCCCTTGTCTGCCAGCCCTGAGCCCCAGAGGGACATGGGAACCACGATTTGGTGGCTGGCCCCCATCAGGCTGTCTACCCTGGCTCGCTCTTTGCCCTGATCACCACCCGCATCAATCCCCATTCCCATCAGGCTGCCTCGCTTCCCTTGCTGTTTTCCATACCTCCCAGGCTCCATACCTCCCAGGGAAAAGGAACGGAGGACACCCAACCCCAATCAACCGGTGCCTATGGGGCCCTGTAGGGGACAGTGGAGCCACCCAGAGCAAGAGCAGCAACTGGGTTCTTTGGGTCAAGCAACTGAGAGCGGAGAAATCAGGAGGCAGCTCCTGTTTGAGAGCATGGGGGATCCCCATTTCACGCCCTGTGCTGTTCCTGGGCTCCCTCCTGGGCCAGCCTTGGGGTTATGGGACACCCACTCCCCAGAGCCACCCAGAACTGCCACAGTCCCAGCTCCCGCCTGAGCATCCTCGGGAAGCCGTGGCTCAGTGATGTCTCAACAAGACAGCTTCAGCACATCCCTGAAGCAACATCCAGGTGCCTGAGAGACTCTTTTAATGAGAGCCAGGGCAGCTGCAGGGAGAGGGGAGAGGCTCTCGGCTGCGATTGCCCTCGCATTGGAAGAAGAGGGAGAGTGACGCTTTCAGAAGGTGCGTAAAATACATAAAAAAAAACCCTGGGAGAGACAGAGCCAAGGCAAAGGATCACTTTGCAGACACAGGTTGCTTGAAAAGAATGCTCCCCAGGGAGGAGGAGGAGAAGAGGAGCCTCAGGGGAGGGGGGAAAGAGCAAAAAGCAAAGGGAGGAGGGGCAAAGGAGAGAGAGAGAAAAGCAGGAGGGACCAGACCGAGTGGGTGCGCGTGAAATACCTAGTGTCATTTCCGAATGAAATGCTATAAGTGGAAGGCGACCCAAGGACAAACACACACACGTACACACACAGAAAGACGAAAGGTCAGAAAGCATCATCCGTACGGGGCTGGCACGGGAGCGGGGCCACAAAGAAGGGGAGCCCCTCTCAGGGGGACTCACCCTAGATCAGCACCACTGGCTAAAGGAGCTCCCACCTTCCTGGACCCCAAATCAGAGCCCAGAAGAAGCTTGGTGAGGGCAGACAGAGGTTTACCTGCTTGGGTGAAAACCCTCTGCCTCCCACCTTTCTTGCAGTCCAGAAGCTGGGAAGCGAGCACACGTGTGTTCCCCATTCCTTTAACTCTGCCCTTGCTGCCATCCCAGGGCGAGGAGCTCCCAACTCAGCACAACCCCCCAGGAAGGCGACTGTTGGGGGAAGGACCAGCCACCCCAGTGCCACCCGCACAGCAGAAGATGATTACTTAGTCCGTCCTCTGGTCCACAGGGAGAGCATCAGTGTGTCAAGAGTCCATGGGCAATGCCAGTGCAAGCCCCCGTCTCCTGCAGCGGGAGGCTGGATCCATGCCGGATCTGGGCACCTCTGAGCAGAACGAGCTTCTAGCTGCTGTAGGGAGGATGACCTCCCGGGCACAAAGCTATGGAGCCCACCAGGACTCAGGAGACCCCACCCTCTGTGTCTCACACACATCCTTCTCTTCTTTTGCTGTGGGGCACGGTAGCAGGACGCCCCCTTGTCCGGGGCCTTGGTGGTGCTCCCATCCAGAGGCCGGTGGCAGCATACAGGTCTGGTGGCTCTCACCCATGCACCGCAAGCCAGGCTCATCCTGCAGTCCCAGCTGAAGCTTCCCCTCCCATTCCCCCTGACACAGGGTTAGAACAGTCCGTGCCGTGTACGCACCCACTGCCTGTACTGCACTGTACACCCGCTGTGCTGCCTGCGTACAGACACACACTGCCCATACACTGCACGTACACCTGCCGAACTACGGCGCACGGGGTAGGCAGCTGCTGCACATGCTGCTGCACCACCCGCTGGTGCTGCCATTGTCACCAGGCAAGGGCTGAAAGTGCCCCAAAGCCCCTGCTGTGGTCCACACCAGCCCTGCAGCTACTCAAAGCAGCAACAGGGCCAAGCGGGAGCTGGGATGGAAGGTGATGGGGATGGGCGGCACGCTCAGCGCCAGATGCCAAAGAGATGGGAGAGCAGCAAAGTCAAAAAGCAAGAAGAAAACCCAAATCAGGTGATGGGGACGCAGGCGTGCGAGGGGGAGCAGCAGCCAGCGAGAGTGCGGCCCAAACGAACAGTAAAAGAGACTGAGTGAGCAAGAGGTGCCAGGGTGGGAGGGAGGAGGGATGGGGCCTGTGGAGGGTTGGGGGGCTGGATGTCCCAGTGCTGCCTCCGGCAGGAGTGAGCGTGCCGAGGCGAGGGGGGAGAAAGAAAGAAGGAAGAGAGGAAGGTGGGGGGTGGAAAAAAAGCCAATGGAAACAAATAATACCTAGGCATATCCGAATCAAGAAACTGCCTGCGAAAACACAAAACAATCACATAGTTAGTGTGGGCTCGGATGGGTGGCAGCAGCAGAGAAAAGCGAGGGGGACCCTGGGCACTGCCCCCCATGCCTCCTCCCTGGGCAGGAACGGATGGGTGCTGGGGAGGGAGTCGTACTGCTCCCCTGGTCTCCTCCTAAGCAGCTCTGGGGAACTGGGGAGGCGAGCCAGAGGTGTTCTGGGCCACGGAGACTGCATGGCATAAGGCAGCGAAGCAGGGAGCGCAAGCAGCCGGGGAGGAAGGTGAAGCGGGCCCTGGCTCTGCCCACTGCCCTCCCTCTGCCTGTCCTTGCAGGCTGCTGGGGATGAAGCGTGTGCGCCTGCATGTGGGATGGAAGCTGGGGGGGCTGCAGCGGGCACACCTCGGCATCCCGCAGGGAGCCGGCTGCCTTCTCCTCTGCCTGGCCCTGGGCAGGATCACTAGGATGGATATGGTATGAATACAGCATTCACACTGGCCAGCAGCCCTGGTTTGGGGCTGGCCCTGAGGCACAGACCCTTCAGCAGACAGGTGATGTGGGCTCTTGCAAAACCTGAGCCCCCATCTCCCTGCTTCTCTCCATGCCCTGAGCATCCCCCCAGCCTGAGCTGTGTCCCCTTGCCCTGCAGAACCTGTGGGGAGAAGACAGGAGCAGGAGGCATGTCTGCCCCTGCCAGGCTATGCTAGAGATGCTGAAGATCTATCTGATCTGGCTGCACCTGAGACCAACCGGCCAGATCAGGAGCTGACATAAAACTATGCAGCCCCAGTAGCCCGTGGGTGCCACAGCCACCCAGGTCCCAGCAGTTCAGCAAAAAGCACATCTCTGCCAGGGCAAGCCCTCCTTGCCCAGCTGTCCCCACCTGACCTTGTTCTGTTGTCCCAGAAGTCTCCTGGTCCGACACACACATACCCAACCCTGTCCTTCAGCTCTGCTGCTCAGGTACCGCGTGCCTGTTGCTCTACCATGCCCAGGAGGTGCCTTGGGAGCTCTGCAGGGTGGCACCTCCTGTCCAGACCCCCGTCATCCCCCCTGAAAACATGCTACCTTGGGACAGGCCGCCTTGCGCCAGTGCCAACCCCAAAGAAAATGAGGGGAAAAGTGGTCCCCATTGGGATACTCCTACACCAGCAACCGCCACGCACACAGCTCAGGACTTGTCCCGCTGCTCCCACTGCTGCCAACGACCATCCCTGTCTTGTTGCAGCTGCCTGCATGCACACATTCTGGCCAGGGACCCCCCACCAGCCCCAGGAGTTTCGTCAGCAGCCCTGATGCAGAGGTAAGCTCTGCCCTCAGCACCCACTGCTTCCCCTTGAAACGGCAGGATCCCACCAGGGAGATCTCAGAGATAAAAAACCTTCAGTCCTGCTGCTCCCATACACCCGCCAAACCCATGGCGGGGACACGTGTGAAGGGGCAGGCATCCCCAAAGTCACTCAGCAGTGATGGGGGATAGCTTTCCTGCATCATCCTGGCACAGATGGGGACTGGTGATGGGCACCAAGTGAGTCTGTTTGGACACAGGACAAATAGCCCTTCATGGCAGGTCACCTCCAGCCATGGGGTTGGTACATCCTCCTGGCACCGGCACTGACTGGCTGTCTGCACCAGGAGGTCACAGCCACAATCGGAGAGCAGGACACCCATGCAAATTCCCTGGAGTGCCAAAGCCCAGTGTGAAGAGGCCTCCGGGAGCAGGAGGAAGGAGGCTGGCGGCCCTGCGCCTTGAGACCTTCTGTAACTCCAGAAAAGTTCCCCCCACCCCGGGCAGCAACGGGTCAGGACCCTGCGGAGGGCCAAGAGCCTCACCAGGGGAGAGAGGGGCTCCCCGTGTCCCCCCCCATACCCCCTCACCATAGTGAGGGAAAAACAAGAGAAGAAGTGGCACGCACCGGTCGTCCTGGGAAGGGTGGATGTACCCAGAGGAGAGGATGTTCAAGGACAGGATGTTTGGATCAATGAGAGACTCGTCTGCTTCTGGGGTGTTCCGGATCCGACCTGCAAGCACAGCACAGGGACACAGCTCAGATGACAGGTGGTGGCCCAGTGAGGTCCCCACAAGGGGCAGGGGCAGCCCACCTTGCCTGCAGCCCCCCCCAGCAGCCCCCTTGTCACGGGCAGCAGCTGCCCTGGCACTTGGCCACTCAGTGCCAGAGGTCCTGGTCCAGCTCCTGGATGCCTGGATGTCCAGGACTGAGGCATCCTGCCCACGCAGTGTCCCAGTGTCACCTGCCAGGCAGCTACTGCTTTGCTACAGCAGGGTGGGAGGCGAGACAAGGCATAAAGCCCTGCATGGGAACATGGGTGAGAAACAGCCCAGGAGGATGCCTGGGAGCTCGGCAGGCTGGGGGGTGCTCACAGCCCACCCAAGCTGGCTCAGCTTACCCACAACCAGCTCCCGCACTTCCTTCCAGCGGATGAGGCTGCCCGTTTCGTGCACCAAGGTGACAGTGATTCTCCTCTGGATGCCCTGAGACACACAAGGCCAGAGAGAAGGGGCCATATTTAACACAGCTCCCGTCAGGAGCCAGAGTCAGGATGGCATCTCAGGGAGGGAGTACCTGGTGGAGGAGAAAGGTCCCATGGCATGGCATGCCTCCACGGTGGTCCACGACAGCAGGGATGTAGCTGGAAGAGAGGACCACGGTGTGACACAGAGCCCTGTCAGCCTGCCCACAGGTGCCAAGCACTGGGCAAATCACCGCGCTGCTTCCCTCTCCTTCCCACTTGCCTTTCCGGCAGGACTTACTCGCCATTGGCCTCCAGCTCACAGATCTCGAAGAAGACCATCAGGTCATACTTGCACTGGCACGGGCCAGGGCTGGGCCGAGTCATGGTGCTCAGCTTCGTGGCAGGCACTGCAGCAGGTTGGAAAGTCAGCTTAAAGGGTGAGCTTGCCACTGACGTTTGGAGTGAGGCAGGGTAAGGGCAAAGGGAGGGACCACAGGGAGACACATCGAGGTGGCAGCAAGGCAGAAGGGAGTTCATAGAGGGGGACAGCCCCATCCCAGAGACCTCACTGACCACCAGCATGCCTTCTCCCATGCCAAAAATGGCGCAGCGAGGGTGTCAAGTTGATGCTGCCAGCCTCACCCATCCCCGAGATCGCAGAATCATAGAATAGTTTGGGTGGGAAGGGACCTTTAAATATCATCCAGCCCAATTCCCCTGCAACAAGTGGGGACATCTTCAACTAGAACAGGTTGCTCAGAGCCCCATACAACCTGACCCCTTTCCAGGGATAGGGGATCCACCACCTCTGGGCAAGTGTCTCACCATCCTCAGCGTAAAAAATTTCTTCCTTATATCTAGTCTAAATGTCCCCTCTTTTAGTTTAAAGCCCTTGTCCTATCACAACAGGCCCTGCTAAAAGGTTTCTCCCCATCTTTACTGTAGGTGACCTTTAAGTACTAAAAGACTGCAATAAGGTCTTCCTGCAGCCTTCTCTTTTCCAGGCTGAACCCCCCAAACTCTCTCAGCCCCCCCTCCCAGCAGAGGGGCTCCAGCCCTCCCAGCATCTCCAGGGCCTCCTCTGGCCCCATCCAACAGGTCCGTGTCCTTCTGCTGTTGGTGGCCCCAGAGCTGGAGGCAGCACTTGGGGGGGGTGTCTCCCCAAAGCAGAGCAGAGGGGCAGAATCCCCCCCTGGCCCTGCTGGCCACGGGGCTCGGGGTGCAGCCCAGGGTGTGGGGGGCTTTTTGCGCTGTGCTGAGTCATGTGCAGCTTTTCACCAGTACTCCCAAGTCCTTCGCAGCAGATGAATGCACACCCTAAGCCCACAGCCCTGGCACACACACATCCCAAGCCATGCAGCACTGTTCCAGGGACACCTGGGGACAGCTGGAAGGAGGCTCGCCCAGTGCTGCTGCAGGGACTGCACAGCAAACCAGGGCGCTCAGCCAAACCCCAACAACTTGGGTCTTAGTGGCCAGAGCACAGTGGGGACCCTGCAAGCCCCTGTGGGATGGCAGGGCTCCTTGGCCATTTGAGTCATCCAGGGTGGGCAGCCTCCTCCCCACTGCTCTGCAGGAGGCAAGGAGGGGGTTTTGCATCAGCCGGGTGCTGCAGGAATGGGTGCCATGGGCTTTCAGGTGCTCTGGCCCACAGTACATTTTGTGGTGCCCCTGGGGTCCTAACTGGTCCTCCTAGGGAAGGGGACACTGTACCCAGCACAGGGACCACAGGCAAGCAGAGCAGGAGGCCACATTCCCTACCTGGTTTGGAGAGTGGCATCACACGGGGAAAGTGACGTCGGGATGGCCTCAGTGGGCTGCAGAAAGAACCACCTCAGTTCAAGCATCCACAGGGATGCCCAAACCCGGCCAATCCCATATACAGCCCAGGGCCACCCCCTCCCACCACCTGTCCCTTCTTTCTCTGGGTCCCTAGGAAGCTGGCTGTTCTGGGTGCCCCCAGGGCATCCAGGGGTGGCCCAGAGTGTGCCCACCTCAGGACATCTTTGCAGAGGGGTGGGAAGGGGTGCTGCTGGTAGTGCCCAAAGACTTCAAATACAATTGGCTGGCTCTTGATGTATTCAATGAAGGACTTGGTCACCTCCACAGCGATCTAGAAGAGAAAGAGCCATCAAAGGTGCAGTGTAGCTGGGAAAGGGATGCAGCTGGCAACAGCACCAGGGACGTGGGAGAGTGCAAGCTTGTCTAGTCCTCTGCATTCCTCATGCATCCCCTTCCCCATGGCCTGGGGATGCTGTGCCCACTAAGACCACTGCCATGAAATCACAGCCTTTTCAGGTGGAGAGCAGTGGTTTTTGGTCTTTCCCCCATCCACCCACCTTGTCTAAGGTTGCCTTAGCTGGGTGGCTGTGATAGGCTGGGAAAGCCAGGAGGAAGCTGCTCCCCTGGGGAGAAGATCCAGCCAAAGGCCCTGTGGAGACCCTCACACTGCAGGGGTGAGGGAGTGTGGGTAGAGGAGAGGTACGCACATTTTGGACGTGATAGAAGCCCAATGGTGGCCCCCGTCCCGTGTTCTTCAAGGGCTCTGTCGAAAAGGCCTCGTCGTGGCGATGTATGAAGCTGTTGAGGGAAGGAAGGTGGCTCAAGGATGTGCCGGAGCAGGGAGGGGAGAGAGGGCAGGGACCAGAAAGGCCCGCTCTCCCTGGGGCTGCTGCCCACACCCTGGGCTGGCACAGGACTTCCGCAAAGCTGATGGGAGTCTTTCCCCATCTTTTACCAGTGACCGTGTGAGATCCCAGAGAAGCATGTGGGTTCATCCCACAGCCCTTGGTTTTGCCTCCCCATCCACAAAAGGGCTCAGAGGTGGCGGGGCTGGGGTCCCCAATGTCCATCACCAGGCCCAAGACGATGGCCAGACCATGGTGGGAGATGCAGGGCCGGGGGGCACTGGGGCCTCACTTGAACTGGCAGAAGATGTCTGCGTATTCCGCAGAGATGCTGGAGGCTTGCAGGACCGTCACGCGGAAAGTGAAGATGCTGCCCAGCTTCAGGTGGTCCAGAGCCGTCTCCAGCGGCCCATCTGATGCAGGCTTCTCTGGGCTCTCCAGAAGATCCTCTGGGGTCACTGCAGGAAGGGGAGCGTCTTCAGCAAGGCAGGGGTGGTCACCCCTCTCGGTGTCTGCCAGCAAGCCCACATCTGAGCAGTGGGCATTCGACACTTGGGTGGGAGCTGGCTTGGGGGCAGGAGCAGGTTGGGTGCCAGGGCAGAGGGCTGCTCCCCAACCACTTGTCAGCACCCTCTCACCTGCGCAGGTGTTGTTGTTGACTTCATCCGCAGAGGGCCCCATGTCGCTGACCTGCCCCTGGCCTTCGACGATGCGCAGCTCCTCCTGGGAGGTCCCCGAGCGAGACATGCCCACAGCTGGGCATGACTCTGACTGGAACTGCACCAGAAGTGGGGCTCAGGGGTGCTGATGATCCCCAAGGCAGTCCTGCTTGAAACCTCCACCACTGCCCTGAGCACTGGGACACTTCCAGCTCTCCCCTCCTCACCCCACAGGCAGCCCCCCCCAGGACATGGGCAAGAGCAGGGTACATTGGTGGGTGCCAGAGGGCTGGGGGCTGCCAGGCAGACCAGGAGCATGGTCCCTTCAGTGTGATGCCTGCACCTCTGGGAGCCTGGTGGTCCCCGTGGGGGAGCATCACCGTGGCAGGTAGCAGTTTGTGGTCCCCAGGCAAGAGCTGTCCACCACCATACCTTCTCAAAGTGCTGATCATCAAAGGATATCTTGGCTGTCCCTGACTGCCGCACACCAGAGCCGTAGTCGGGGGCTTCCTCATCCGCTGGAGGAGGCACGGGCGTGAGCTGGCACGGGGGTGAGCTGGGACGGGGGCCACAGGGAATGCAAGGGGCGCATTTGGGTGGGGGTGGGGGTGTCCCCCTCCTACCTGAGATGGCCTGGACAGCCACGCGCAGGAAGCCCTTCACCTCACCCTTCTCGCTGACGATGGCCACGCGGTGGACCAGGGGCACAGGGTAGAGGAGGTTGCTCAGGTAGACGAAGGCCCTGCCGGAGAAGGGGGGGACACATACAACACAGGGGGAGAGCGGTCACTGCTCCCACCCGCAGGTCCCCAGGCGCGGGTGGCGCGGCCGGTGGTGGCCGGGATCCCAGGTCACTGCTCACGGCGCTACCGCGGCGCTGCAAAGCAAAACTAAAAAGAAGGCAGCCAGAGCCAGCCGAGAGGGGCAGGGAGCGGGCAGCGGGCAGGCAGCACCATGAAGCAGAAGGGGCTCGCATACCTCTCCAGCTGTCACCTCCGTGGCGGGCAGGGAGGGGGGTTGCGCTGGTGCCACTGTGAAGCTGGGAGGGAAGAGGACCTTCTCTGCGGCGGAGAGCCGGAGGACTAGGGCAGGAGGTGCTGCAACACGACTTGGGGGTGGCTGCAGAGTAACCGTGGGGGAGACAGGGGCAAGGCAGGGGGGAAAGGAGGGTGACGAGGGAGGTAGAGGCCAACAGGAGCAAAGGAGGGGAGAGGAGGAGGTCCTGGTTGGAGGCCAGAAGCCTCCAGAGATGAACCTGCTTAGGGGGTCCTGGCCCCGGCACTTACTGCGGTGCCGCAGGACTACTGGTAGCTAGGGGTGGCCTTTGCCCGGCTGGGTGGGAGGCTGCATGGTGTGGCTGGCAGCATGTGTCCCCCTGCCACATCCCTTTGCATGCATGGCTCCAGGGTCCCAGGCTGCCCAACAGCACACCACAGGGATGGCACGGCTGACTTTTCCCTGTGGGTGAGGAAAGAGCTGCCTGCTCCCCATATGGCAGGTTGGAGCCTCCCCGCCCTCCTCAGCAGTGTCCAGCTTGCCAATACTGCCATGGCAAGGTGCCATGCCAGAGTTCAAAGTGATGGCCACACCATGTCTCTGCTGGCACCTCATGCCAGACCGCAGGTCCCTGTTTCTCAAGTGTTTTGTCTCCTCTTGCTGCCTTCCTCAACCTCGCTGCCAGCTGGGTCACTGTTCAACGGTCCTCTTGGCACTCTGGCGATGGTGGCACACTGTGCCCTCCGCAGTCACAAGACACCTCCAGAGCCTTTGGCACCAAGCTCCCTGCCAAGCGGTTCGAACTGCCCTTGCCTGCAGGGCAGCACTGCTCCCAGCAAGAGGGGGTCTGGGGTGCCTGCCACCCCTCCCCAGGGTGCGCACCAGCATCTTGATATGCAGTGTCTTCAGGTGTCGTGGGGCGTAGTGCTGGGACTGGCCAGGACAATTCTGCTTTAGGAGGCTCTCATGAGGGTTGTGGCTGACAGTGCTGCTCATGATGTCCCAACCTCGCAGGCATCTTTGCAGACATCCAATGGCACCCGAAAGTGGCCAGAGGGCTCTTGCAGGAGGCCCTAGCCCCGCACTTGCAGCCTGAGCCTTAAAGTCCAGAGGTTCCCCCTGCTCTGGTGACCCCCATTGACCTCCAACCGCTGCTTGAGGCTTTTTCCACCCAATGCATCTCTAAGGACCCAAGTTGTGGAAGTAAAGGTGATGCCTCATCACCATCTGCTGGGCCCACGTCACCCCATCTCTTCTCAGAGGCCACCAGGGACAAGTGGCTGGACCATGCCAGGGCTTCCTGGCAGGACCGCATGCCTGGGGTGGTGCCCTGTGACCACAGGAAGGTCTCAAAAGTGCAGGGATCTGGGTGCGCCCACCTGCTCAAAATCACAGGGCAGCTGGTGTTGAAGTCGGAGGGGGAGAGGGGAGGAAAGAAGGGGAGGGAGGGCAGGGCGGGCAGGGAGGAGGGGGACAAGTGTGTCACTAGAGGAAGGAGGGCAGGGACACTAACCACAAGATTGGTGAGGTGCAAAGATGGCATGCTCAGACCAAAGAAAAGCCTTTCCAAAGGAAGATGAAAGTGAAAGAACCCCAATTTTTGCTAAAGCTTTGGAGAGAGAGAGCCAGCAGCTAAAAAAAGAAAAACCCAAAAAACTGAAAAAAAAACCAAACCTAAAAGAAAAAAAAAAGAAAGAAAGGGAAAAAAAAATCAAAGACAAGGATCCAATCATAAACCAATCCAAGCACACTTCACAAGAAATGTGGCCAGCAGAGCTGCTGTGCAGGGAGCCAAACCCAGAGCAGACTCAAAAGAAGTCGGAAGGCACTAAGCTCCAGGGAATGTGCCCCTGGCATGGAGCAGGGCCGCTGCCGCAGGGCCTTGTTTGGTTTTTTGAGGTGTCCCCAAGAGTTTTAGGGGTATTTTTTGACGTTTTTTGTTTTGTTTTTGTGGGGGTTTTTTGGTTTTTGTGTTTCGTTTTGTTTTTCTTTTGTTTTTAAATGAGGAAAAAAAAAAAAAAAAGTGGGGAAGAACCCAGCTCTTTCGGTCTGAGGCTGCAGGACTCTTATCCCACCTCTGCCCTCTCTGCCTGCACCGGTTCCCTTCCTCCCCACCTCGCTGCCCACAACCTGACTGGCAGGGGTAAGCCTGGCTTTAGCACACCGAGGAAGAGGAGCTCCAGCTCCAACCGGGGCAGCCCCAGTGGGGAGAGGTTCACCGTCATGAGCCTCTCTGGCTCCTGCCTGGGGCACAGGCTCCGGGACCAGCTCCGGGCACAAGTTCCCTTAGGAAAACCCCAGAGGTGGGAGTACCTCCTCCCATTTTGGGGATGGGCAGATTGTGACCGGGTTTGGCAGCACAGCCAGTTTTGCAGCAGCTGGTGGGTTTCTCCAGGCCAAGACTGATGGAGACCAGGGGGCATTCCTCGCCAAAAGGTGTGAGAAATCAAAACTCTTGTCCTCGGCTGGAGCTGAGGAGGAGTTGGAGGCTGCAAACTAGGTCCCTGCAGCACCCCTGCAAATCTCCTGTGCCAAGCTGGCAGGAATCTCCCCAAGACTGGCACAGGCAGCAAGAGAAAATGCCCCTTTTCACCGAGCCCTCCTTTCCCTCCTGCACCTGGCTTGCCCTCAGATTCGTCCCCTCAACACATGGGGACATCCAAGTCTCCATGTCCAGGGGGGTTCATACTGACTGATGCAGCCGGGATGGCCACGCTGATGCCAGAGGCACACAAAGCTTTGAACTGCCTGCACGTTCCCAGCCAGCAGCACTGCAGGCTTACCCCTAGTCCAGTGGGAGGTGGCCCTTCCTGGGACAGAAACGCGCAGGACCGAGGCCCCCATGCAGCTCCCCCAGCTCCTTTGGTGCCGGAGATGGAGCAGAGCTCTGCTTTTTGGGGGCCGCCCCAAAGAGGGACCTGCCTAAAGGGTCTCCAGCGGAGCTGGTGCCATCTGCCTTCCCCCACTATCCCCTACCACTGCTGTGCTCATCACAGGCCTACCTTGGTAGGCACCTCGCCGCCCTGCTGGGTGCCCCAGGCTAGGTGGCAATCCCAGCTGACCGGCCACCCCTGCGCCTCCGGGATGCCCAGGAGGTGGGAGTCATGTCCAAAAGCAGTTCCCTCATGCGAAAGAGCTAGTTCCTTCCCGGCATGCTCTCCTAAAACCTCACCAACCTTCCTACTAAACTGAACAGGGGGGAGCGGTCGTAAAATGGATCCTGGCCATCACACAGCGGGCACTCCGGAAAGATGTCTTCCTCCAGGTCCTCCGCCTCCTCCTCCTCCTCCTCCTCCTCCTCCTGCCCCTGGTGCTGCTCGTCAGCAGGCTCGGTGATGTCGGAGTCGGGGTTCGAGAAGGTAGGGGAGGGGGTGAGATCAGCCATGCGCTCGCTCATGCATGTGTTGAAAAGAGGAGAGCTGTTGCAGCCAGAGATATCTGAACTAAGGTTAGTACAACAAGATAGAAGACAGGTTAACACCAGCTGTTCCTAAAAGAGAGAGCAAGAATAGGAACTTTGTGCTTTTTTGTTTGGTTGTATTTTTTCTCAGTTGGATTTTGGGGTAGGTTTTTTTTTTCTGCTTAAACCAAGGGACGTTGGGAAATAAAGACCTGCCCGTCCAGTGCATCTCTAAAGCAAGCCACTAACAGCTGTCAGCTATAAAGGGCAGAGAAAAGAGCGACCCAAGGAACTGGTGTAAATGGTGGGGCTTCCCCTTGATGGCTTTATGGGCAACACAGGGACGGAGCGGGTGGCATGAGGCTTGCCATCACCCCCGCTGCTGAAGGGAATCTTTCCACATGCCGTGGCATGGGGGGTGCCTCCACAGCAAGTGCGGTTGGTCAGGCCATGCGGCTCATCCCCCTGCTCCCTCTGCCCACCGGGGCAGACCCTTTCTCCAGGGTGGCCCATCCTTGTCATTGGCAATGCACCCTTCTAGACGGCGTGCAGGAAGAGCACAGACACCCGCGGCACATACCATACAGACAGATGCTCAGACACCAACGTGTGCACGTGGACGTGTGCCCACTGGGGCAGAGGTGGCGATGGCACAGGCTCTCGGCCTGCTGGAGAGCCACAGCCCCCTGCCTCCCACCAGCGGCAAGCCAAGAGCCCATGCCTCACAGCACTGTGTTACGGCAGGCAGCAGGAGTGTTGCCAGTGGCTTGCAGGTCCCTCAGGGTCCTGGCAGCCAATGCCGAGGACAGCCATCACAGGCAAGACGGGCCCTGACCGGCACTGGGGAAAACAGCGCATCCCCCCACGGCACGGCCCCAGGGGAGGGCAGAGCCAGCGGCGCCTCCTCCCGCAGGGCTGCCTGCAGGTCCCAGCCACGCTTAGAAGGAACGGAAGCACTCACCTGCCGACCAGCCTGAACCAGGGGAAGCGGTCATAGAAAGGATCTCCACCAGTCACCACGTTGTCGCAGTCCTCAATGACACTAGAAGGCACTTCCGCTGCACGGTCGTACATTTCACGCATGAGGTCCAGGCGTTGCCTGCAGGCAGAGGGCACCACAGCAGGTCATGGTGAGGAAGTGGGCTGAGGCCAGTGAAGCCCTCCCCAGCACAGGCATCATTTGCCCACCTCAGCTTCTCCAGGGTCCAGTAATGCGTTGCCCCATTCTTCTGGTCCTGCACCTCTACGGCCACAATGGTCCGAGGGAATGGCCGCTTCTCCCGGTCTTTGGCGGCATCAGGAGGCAGCAGGTCAGGAGGGAGAGGTGAGTACAGCGTGTCAGTGAGGAGCACGAACTGGAACTGTACCTGGAGAGGGGCAGAGAGGGCCGGTGAGCTGCCTGGGAGGACAACGAGCTCCATGTGGTGCCTTCCGTGTCCCCCTCCTCGGCATTTCCCTGGCTCCCCACACTTGTGGCCTCTGCCATGGGTGCCACAGCAAGCCAGAGAGGAGCCCCAGGCACCCACCTTCTTCTTCAGCTCCACGCTGATGGCATTGGCTTCCTTGAGGAAGATGGCATTGCCCCAGAGCAAGTCACGGAGGGAGGTGAACTGGTACCATTTCCACTTCCTAAAGGCCCAGAGGGCCAGCTCGAACTCTCTCTCTGTCCACTGCACTGTGGGGACATGGAGGGACAATCATTGCACTACTAGGAAGGACGACATTAGCACAGAGGTGCTAATGTCACAGTCCACTCTTCTTGCTTCCGCAGAGAACATCAAAACTTTGTGGTGATACCCAGCCCCTACCTTCATCCTCAGGTTCTTCCTCTTCCTCATTTGCCTCAGGGTAATACCTAGAGTCCATCTGCTTCTGCAAAGCCTCCAATTTGCTCTCATAGTCCTGGGGGAAGCAGGGAGAGGAATGATGCAACCCACAAGGTGTGACCTTCCTTCATGCTGCCATGTAGCACTTCTCTCCCTCCGTAGGAACCCAGCCTCCTCCCTCCTCTGCATCCATGTTTATGAGGACAATCCCAGGAATGACACATTCGCCCTTGCTTTTAGGACACACAGAGCCACCTGAAGCAAACATCTACCAGAACTCAGTCATGCCTGGGCAGCCTGAGAAGGAGCCAGGTCCTGCCCACCTACCAGCCTCTGCTGCTCTAGAAGGTAATTTGCCTCCTCCCGCTCCCGCCGGTACTGGTCCTCCAATTCCTGGAGCCTGGGAGGAATGGGAAAGGAGAGGATGACCAACCTGGAGGTAACTATTCAACTCCCCATTGCCCCAGCCCCTGTGCCCTCACCGTTGCTCCATTTCCTGCTTCATGTCAATGCCCTGCTTCTCCAGCAGCTCTCTTTGGGCGAAAGCCCAGTCCACGGGCTCAGCAGGGGTCTCGGCACATGGAGTCCGCTCCCGCTCCTGCCGAGCCTGCTCGGGGTGGTTGAAGCGGAAGACGTGGCTCTTGCCCATAATGATGCGATTTCCTACAGGGATGCACGCAGGGCAGGGGGAAAGGGTGTGGGTTTAATGTGGGACAACGTGCATGGCCCCTGTGGGATGGTGGGCAGGTGGGTTAGAGCAGCGCTGGTGTGCTGGCTCTGGGCACCCACCTGAGCGCAGGATGCTGGGCTCCGTCACCTTTTTGCCATTCACGTAGGTGTCGGCACCTTCACAGGGCTCTAGGGTCACTATTACTGCAGGGACAGCGAGAGAGGGAGAGAGAGAAGGTAAGGTGGAAGCAGAGGGATAAATCCTGCATCTCCTCCTCTGATGCTCCTGCAGCATCAGAAAGGGACAGCTGCTCCAGCCAGCACCCCAGGTGCAGAGTGGGAGACCATGGGGTACCCACTGGCAGCACCCACATTCTGGGCAACCAATGGGGCTCAGACAACCTCATGTTAATCAGAGCATTCCCAAGGGCTAAAAGCAGCTGGAGACTGGACATGAGAGGAGATCAGAGCCTCCAGCATGCATCTCCAGGCTCATCTCCCAAAGCCCTTTCACCCCCAAGTTCCTGTTGTTTTGCAGGGTGGGCTCTGCTCCACGTCTGGGGTGGGCTCTGCTACACATCTTAGGCAGGAGAATGGTCTGCTCTTCCCTCCCACCATGATCTCCCTGGATTGCCCCACTGTGGCAACTTCCATGAGCTTTGCAGGGGTTTCCATCCCAGACAGGTGAGGGCAGTAGCTCTATCTGGAAGCACAGAGAGGCCTCAGCCACGTGAGAGAATGCCACCAGTCTGAGGAGGGCAGGACCCCAGCCAGGGGCAGGTGCTGGGGACGTGCAGAGGGACTGAGTCTCTGGGGAGGTGGAGCCCCTCCAGACAGGGAATACCTTCACCGCCAGTTTTGGTGTCACTGCGGAAAAGGCAGTGCTCTTCCTTAATGAAGTGCCCACTGAGAACGATGTCCTGCCTCTTCTCTGCATCTTCTCGGCCAACCCTGTCAGGGGAAACCCAGGTTGATCCTTCATCAAAGCAGCCCCTCCCTGAGTCTCCCCCAAAACCATCCTTGGGGCTGACAGGAGCAGCCCTTGTCGCTAGACCAACATTTCTAGTGAGATACCCAGGCAAATACGTTTTTCCCCATGAGGCTATGGCACTTTGGGGTTGCCCTGGAAATGGTACCCAGCCTGGGGACAGCTGTCACCCTGCTGCCCACCCAGGCAAGTTGGGCACTGAGGTATTAGCTAGGTTCCCACTGCTCTGTGGGACCTGACCCTCACCTTGTTATCCCATCCTTGATGTAGTAGAGAAGACACTCAGACATAAGCGGGTCCTCGTTCAGGTTGACCAAGTGGGGTGTCTGGGAGAGACAAACCAGGAGTCACCTCGGTGCGCCTTCCTGCGCTGAGGGATGCTCCCGAGGGAGCTGGGAACTCAGCAGCACCTCAGGCTGTCCCCCTGCACATGGATGGGCTCTCCTGCCCTCCATAGCTCCCAGACAACATGCCCAGCCAAGTACTTTTCAAGGGGGGACTGCAGAGAACCATGCAGCTGGGATGAGGATAACCTGCTTCCACACGCCTCCTTGCTTTTCTCCTCAAAGAGCTGAGCCCTGGAGACCTTTCTTCCAGCTGCCTTTGAAAATTCATGTACCAAACAGGCCCAACACTTGCCATGATAGGGCATACATCTCCTGCAGGACCCTGCTCACCTGCACTGCACATCCATGGGCCCTTGCCTCACCATAGCACCCAGCTCCACTGTGGACAGTGTAGCTGAGGCAGAGACATGTCCCATGCAGCATCTGGTTTAGGATGAGAGCAACTAAAAATGCACATTTTCCTCCACTGACAGTACAAGGATAGATGAAGCACCTAAAAGGTACCAAACTAGAGGTTCAACCAAAAGTACTGGAGACCTGAAGCTGTATCTCCAGACTCAATTTCACTCTCTGTTCTCCTTCCTAACAGTTCCCTCCCATCACTTTTTTCCCCTGGGTCACAAACCACTTTGTTCTTGATGAGAGGGAAGTTCCTCCCGCTGGCATAGACCTCTCCAGCTGCAGCTAGCTTACCTCACCCCATCACAAGCTGCTGTGGTTGCACCTTGAGGCAACAGGCAAAGTCCCAGGAGTATCAGTAGGTGAAGTTCTGAGTTTCCCAGAAATAAGAATAGAGACTGTAAGAAATATCAGCCCACTGACACTTGGTATGCAGAGGATTCCCCATCACGACAGTGCTATAATCCCTGGCTGAACGAAGACTCACTCCAAATAGTGCAGGAGAGATGAAGGTCAAGGGAAACACAGGTTCTTCTCCATGATGGCTGCTAGGAATAAGTTGGCTGAAACATTTAACCTCAGGCTCCTCTGGGCAGACACGTAGCACTGGGGTCTGAGGCTCCTTCAGCTTGCAGTTTTTCTCCAGATTTGCAAGGCTGGCTATTAGAATGTCAGATGCTCTACAATTACACTGAGCTTCTTAGAGACATAACCACCCCAGCACTGGTATACAGCAAGACAACAAAGTCCTGCCCTGCTTTGCCCTTAACGAAATGTGGTTTTGCACGCTATCGATGCTAACTTTCCTCGCCAGCCACTGGAGAAGTCAGAGGAGTTTCCACCCGTCGGATAGTTAAAGAGCAAGGAGGCACCAAGACTACCACAGCCATGCTCCACCTCCAAGACCAACCTGCTTCGGGGAATAAACCCCCATGCTTTCTACACAAAGGTCTGGGGTCCTAACAGGCAGCAGCTGAGACAAGAATGAGAAACAAAGACAACAGTGTAGAAATTTGTCTTTAGAACTACACCAAGGCATGCAAGGGGAAGGTTCCAAAGCCTTCATCACTGAGTGTCACTGCCTCAGCTGGGGACACACACACCTACTAAGGCGTTTGGCCAAGCCAACCAGCATTGGTTGCCAGCGCAGGTCTCAGGCCATCCTTTGGTGTAGTGGGAGAGCCAAGCAAGAGTACCCTGGTCCTACCAGAACATGCCCGCACCTCACCAGCCCGTGTTGCTCTGAGGGCTTCACAGGGTTGGGGCTGTAAACTGGGTGTTGCTACCACTATGGTTATACAGCCGAGTGAGGGGCAATGACTGATGCTTGGCAGGGTCTGCTGGCACACAAACTCTCTGGGGCACAGTCAGTATTTGCTTAGAAAATTCTTTCCAGGATACTACAAGCAATAAAGAGTATGGAATATTTCTGCACCCACATTTCTCAGCAAGGACTTGCTGGTTTCAGGGGCAGCAAATCTCAAACACCCCAAAGTACAGATTTTTATAAGCTGACACTGAAGTCCGACATGGTGATCATCAGTGAAGCCCCACCTGAAAGGGGACAACACCCAGGCAACAGGGGCTGAACGTTTAGCCATGTGGTCACATCAATGACCAGCTAGGTCAACACTGCAATTTTCCCTGTAGGTTTCAGGGCCAAAAAAAAGGCTAGTCCAATATTTGGGGCTGGCTGGCAGCAATAGGGTAGGTGGGAAGGGAGCTGCAGGGGTGCAAACCAGCCCTCGATTGCCAGGAAGAAAAGAATAAGATGGTCCTACCTTTTTAGGAGAGAAAACACCCAAGGTGCCTCCATCCTCCCTCATGGCCACCCCCATTTCAGCCAGCAACGCTTCCCTGAAAGAGCAAGGGAAAGAAGAGCTTGTCAAAGCCCCACGAGCCCCTGGAGCTGGCACTAGACAAGCCCAGGGTGGGAGCTGAGCCCACAGGTTTACCCCGCAGACCACAGCTGTAGGGCTTCCTTTCCATGCCTCAGAAGGGTTTCTTAGAGCAGACCACATCTGTGCAGACTAACGTGGTGGTCCCTGGGGTGCCTGGGGGGCAGCCAGGGTATGGCTGGATGGTCAAATTGCTCTGCTGCCCCCAAGAACTGAACAGGCAAAGTGCAGACAAGGGGAGATACCTGGAGAACCCCACCTCGTCCCATCCCATCCCAACCCACCTTTCCATGCGGATTGCTTCTGTCCTCCGCAGCTTCTCCTCCCACGTCTCATTCAGCTCGGCGATGATCTTCTCTGTTTCCTGGCAAGTGCAGGGTTAGCAGGGGGTTAGAGCGTCCTGCCCTCTCTGCGCAGCGTGCCACAGCGGAACACTGGTCCCAGTTTCAGGCTGGTTTAAATGAGCCACAGCAGCATTTCACCCACATCTTTCTGTCATGCCCATCTTCAAAGAGCGAGACACAAAGACCAGCCTCTCCATCCCCTTGCTGCCAGCCCTCTCCTGCACCATGCTGAGCCTGTCCCACAGGGCAAGGGCAGCACTCACCCCTCGGGGAGGACAGCAGCACTAGGTGGACCCTTCCATGCCAAACCCTTTCCCATCCAGCAGTCCAGAGCACTGGGCAGCGCTGGGTCTGTCCGCTCTGTGAGAGCACAACCGAGCATCGCTTCCCATGAGCATCATCCATAATGAGTATCCAGAAATTAGCAAGCCCTTTCTGCAAGCTTCAGTGCAAGAGCGTTCAGCTGAGCCCTCCATCCTGTCAGGCACTGGCCTCTTACCTTCAGCCTTTCGATTGCCTCTTCGCTGCCCGGAGCAAACATGATGCGCTCGTGGAGGCTGGCGACGGAGGCAGCGCGGCTGGACAAGGCTGACAGGGAGGAAGAGGGGCTGATCCCAGCGATGGCGTTGGTCACTGTGGAGAGATTGTCATGGCGGTGACTCAGCTCTGCCCCTCTAGCATCATTATTGTTCTCAAAGTCGGACACATCTATGAGTGGGGAAGGAGGGATGGGCCAGGGAAAGATACACGGACAGGAAGAGAGAGAGAAAGAGAAAGACAGAGACAAGAAAAGCTGTTGGGAAAAAAAAAAGAAAAAAAAAAGAAAAAAAAAGAGTGGCCAGGTATAGCAAGAAGAAAGCCAGGAATTGCAAGGAAAAAGGGCACAGGTGACAGCACAGCGGTGCAAGCAGCAGCAGGGCAAGGGCACACACATCTCTCACCCGACCCAGGCAGCCCCCAAGAAACACAAGGCTGTTTTGGAAAGCAGCTGCAGGAATAGCCCTGTAGCCTTTCTAGGCTCCCAGGGACGCTTTTTTGCAACACAAGGTCCTGCAGCCATCAGGTCTGCGATCAACCATCCTCCCCCACCAACAGACCAGGGTGGTTTTCCCTGCCCGGCTGCCCCAGATTAGCTGGATCTGGGAGCAGAGAATGAGAAGAGAAGAGGAGAGGCGGTGGCCCTCCACCCTACAGAGGGGTTGAGAGGATGAAGCAGGAGGAGCCATGCCATCCCCTCACTGGCAGAGCCCATGCCCCTGGCCCGCTGGAGCAGCACTGCAGCTGGGCAGCCAGAGCGAGAGCAAAGTGAGGGCAGGGTGGCAACATGCCTGTTACAGGCACCCAGAGCATCAGCTGCCAGCGGACCCCACAGCAAAGGGACCCAGGTATCAGAGATGCTTCTCCAGCCCCAAAAAATTGCAGGGTTTAGTGCACTGCGCCAGAGGCGGGTATGGCACAGGCTAGCGGGTGCAGCGTTAATCACTTATCTCTATCCGCCTCTGTCCAGGGGAACCAAGCCAGGAGGGGACAGGCCAGGTCCCCATTTCCTCAGTGGGCTTGCCACAGCCTGGCTGCACTGCCTGGCCCAGAGCGGAATGGGGTGATAGTGCTTATCCACAGGCAAAAAACTCCCTAGCCATCACCACACACCTCTGCATGAGGAGAGCACTGTGCCAGCCCACCCAAGCGCAGTGCCAGGCTCCAGTTCTGATGAGCCCCAGCACCAGCAGAAGCAGCAGTAGTGACAGGAAACATCATGACAGCATGGAGGAAGGAGTCCCCATGGGGACAGGGCCCCTGGCACAGCAGATGGGGAGGACACCGGTCCCTCCAAAATCTATCCTGAGCCCCAGGATAGTGCCAGCGCCTCTGCCACGTCCCCTTTGCCCTCTCTCTGGCCTGTGGGCAAGCACCTTTCCATCAGGAGGGGCCAGCTGCAGGAGCCCTTCCCCATGCTGCGCAGGTGCCCCTGGGCACAGCCTACACCTCCCCAAAGCCGTGAAGCAACAGAGTACCAGTGACAGGGAATACACACATTTGGATCCTCCCGCAGCAGGATGGGCTAAGAGAGAGAGAGAGAGGGCAGGGAGCAGGGATAAGACAGAGAGAACAGAACAAGATTGGGTTCATCTCAGTAGGATTTCCTACAGCACACAGAGGAGAGGCCACAGGCGGGTGCAGCCCTGGGAACATCTTCCCGGCACCTCTGCCAAGTGCAGGATGCTGAAGACAGGAGGTGGAAGGGGAGAGAAGGAGGTCTGCTGGGTGTAAAGTAGCTCCTCCTGCTTATTGAGCAGGCTGGGGATTGCAAATGTGTGCGCAGGGGCTCGCCAGAGGAATCTGGCCACGCTTCAGCAGCACGATGCTGCCATGCGGCCAGCAGAGCAGGATGCAGGGCAGCTGGGGGGAATCCAGCCCACCTCTGCCTGGAGCCACTGCCAGAGATCACCAGGCAGTACTTACTGTCAATGATGTCCCCAAGGCCCTGGGCATAGAGAAGGTCACGCAGCCGTGCCACCTCGTCCTTCAGCTCCCGGATGAGCTTGTTGTTGGGGTCCTCATTGATGACAGCATTGCAACGGATCTGCTTAGCACGGTCAGCATACCTTGGGAATGGCAGAGCCCTAAGCAGTGGCCAGGGGGCAAATCCCCAACCGCTAGACAAGCAGGAGTGCTGCCAAGACCTTCCAGCAAGCAATCCTTTGCAGGATCCCAGTGCTGGGACAATCCTTTGGCCTCTTGTCTGAGGTTACAGGGTCCCTCCAAAGCACCCCCCCAGCCAGGGATGCCACAGCGGTGAGGAGAGCACATGGCAATGCCTGGGTTTCAAAGCCCCCCCTCCCACCCCCCCACCCTTGCCTGCTGTGGAGGGACAAGGTTACTTCTTCCTACCTGAGGGTGCTGAGGGTCTCATCGTAGTTGATGTCAGCAGGACTGAGAGCAGCGACCATGGCTGTCCTGGAGTTGCCCCCTGCCCAGAGAGATACACCCGCATCAGGGAGATGCAGGTCCCTGAGCCACCCACCACCCTCTGCTCAGCAGCTGTGCCCAACACCGAGCCTGTATCTCCCACCCATGTCCTCACCCAGGTTCTCCCGCAGGAGCCAGGTCAGCACCGAATCCCGGTAGGGAATGAAATCTGTCTTCTTCTTCTTTTTGTTCTGGGGGATGGAGAGCGGAGGGAAGGGCTGTCAGGCTGCCTGCTTGCTTCAAAGGGAAGCTGACAGCCAGTCCTGAGCCATGGGGACTTGGAGGAGAATGGCTTTGCCTGGCCACCATGAGCTTGGGCAGCTCTGCTCAGCTCCACAGGTCTTGACTGTGAAATGCCCTGCCTCAGCCAGGCTGGGTGTTTAATGCTGAGTACTGAAAGCCACAGGGTGAGGAGGGCAATGAGGATGCTGAGGGTTCTGCCAGCCCCCAGGAAAAGCATGGTGTGGGTCCAACCCCCTCTTCCCCAGCCTGATCAGGATACCCACCTTATTCGGCCCCGAATCCTGCAAAGAAAGTGAAGAGACTGTTTAAGTGAGCTGCTCCCCTTCTCAGCACCCACCACAGCTCCCTGTCACCCAGGCAGAAAGCAGAGGGCACAGTCTCCTGGGGAGACGGCAGCCTTGCCAGCCCAGCTCATCCCAGCCCTGGGGACAGCTTGGGATGTATCTGCCCATCCCTTGGACCCGGGATGCTCCATCCCTCAGAATTGAGCCCATCCCTGCTGAGCTGAGCTCATTCCCCCATGATGTTGCCGCTCATCTGTGCTCTGGCTACCTACCATTTCAGCTAGGGCAGAGATGACTTTCCCCAGAGTTGTCAAGGACTTGTTGATGTTTGCTCCTTCCTGGTGGGGAGAGGAAAAGCCCAGATTTCAAAGCGGCGCTAAATGTTGGCATTTAGCAGGCATCAGAATGTTGGGGATGTCCCAGTACGGGGTGGGCAAAGAGCAGCTGGTCTTAGTGCGTAACCAGCACCTCCCAGTTGGGACTCATGGATCCCCGTGGAAGTAGCACTGGGCAGCTTTCAAACAAAACCCCATTGAGGATTTTGGTAGGGTAGTGGGCAAGGAACCAAGCAAGGAAAGAAGATGTCACAGCTGGGGATGAGGGGGCAGGACACAGCAACCCCACTGTCAGAAAGGGACCTTGTGCCAGCTCTCACCTTTAGTCTTGTGCCTTTCGCACCGGTGGAGTCAGCTCGCTCGCTCCCTGCCAGGTCCACCAAGCTGATTTTGCTGACCTGCAGGCCAAGAAGAGGCTGTCAGCCCTGGCAAGCACAGCAAACCAGGCCCCGGCATGGAGCCAAGGAGGGAGCAAAGACTTCTTGCAAGGCAACACTGCTCTGAAGGCAGAGGTGGATTATGCAGGGTCATCCTTGTCACGATTTGGCCAGGAGCAGAGCTAACATCCTTGCAGGCAGGGCTGCAGGGCACCAGCTGCCAAATATCCTGTCCAGAGGCCAGTCCCTTGAGGGACCATGATCCCAGAGTGTGTCTGGGACCCATCTTCATCTTGTTTCAACCCTCCATCAGCCCACACCATCTCATCTCATGTGCTGTCAATAGCACACAAAGCCCTTCCCAGGTCCATGTGGGTTCCCTTGCGTCCCTCAGGCTCTGCTCTCACCTTCTCAGTGGTGATGTCCGTCTCAGCGTCATGCCGCTTCTGAGTGAAGATGATGTTGAACACGGCGTGGGAGCGGCTGCTGGTCTCATTCATGTTGGTGGCAGCCACCGTGCTGTGGGGAGAGGAGGACAGGGAGGTATGACACTCTGCAGGAAACACTAGAGAGACTGGTAACACGGCCAGGGCTCATTTCAGGGCAGGGTACATGAAGGGAAGGCAAGTCCAGATTACAGGAGAGGACTCTGGGAGGACGTGTAAAAGTCCAAGTTTTCTCCTGCTGAGTCCAGGGTGTTTTGAGAGCAGGAAGGAGGTAAGGTGGGGGGGTACCCACCACTCACACAGAGTGTGACTACCATTTGCAGAGTAGCCAAACCAGCAAAGCAAGGAAGTTAAGCAGGACCTTCTGGAGATGTCTGCAAGATCTCCAAATCCCGGCCATCTTCCACTCCCCCAACTCACCGGGCCTTGTTGCCAGAATCCATGAGGTCCTGGATGTCATTGTAGGAGGTCACGGCCAGCTTGGAAAGGTCCTCCACGTATGGACCCATAAGGGGATGCTCCCTCACCCGCAGGTTACCCTTATTCTTGGGATTCAGGAGGTCCCTCACACGCTCGCAGTATATCTCCATGTAGCTCACCTAGACCAGAGGGCATGGACAGGGCTAGCAGCCAGCAGGACGTTGAAGCTCAGTGTGCAGGCAAAATCAGGTCCTTCACGCCCACCCCACACCCAGGGATGGGACCCCGCAAAGAGGGGTCTGCACACTAGCATGGCTTGCAGAACCAGGTTGGAGGCTGGAGCTAGACTACGCAGGCAATGAGGTGCCTACCTCCACGGAGTAGGACATGTTGTCATTCGTCGTCTCATTGATGCGGGAGAAGAGGTCCTCGCAGAGCTGCAGAGAGAAGAATCAAGCTGCTCAGTCTCCCACCAGAAGGATACTCCTGCCCAGGCCACAGGGATTTCTACCTTCTCACAGCAAAAATCAGAGACCCTGAGTGCTGAGACAGCTCCTGGGGAGCTGGCAGAACCTCCCCCCCTCCTAATATGGGGGGCTCAGCACCCCTAGAGCCCCCCCAGCACTCTGCTGGCTCAGAACTCAGCAGCTCTCAGCAAGCACAGCCGGCAGCGACTCAGTGCTTGGACTACTGCTGCTCACACATACCGGCTTCGTTGTACCCAGACCATGACTCATCTGGTCTCAGCATGACCCTTCTTGTTCCCCCTGCCCTCTGGCAGAGCCATGCCACCTCTACATAGCGCCGGGGCCGTGGCAGACCTTGGCAAAGCCTGATCCCGCTCCCACCTTGCTCCCCTTTTCACTCCCCACTCCACTTTTGCTTTGGGCGTCCTGCTGGGACCAGGGGAACAGGCAGCTTTTCACCAGGTGGTACCTGCGGGATGATGCCTTGCTGGTCCTTTTCCTGCTTCCCCATCATGGTGTAGGATTTTCCGGCACCCGTCTGCCCGTAGGCAAAGATGCAGACGTTATAGCCTTCAAAGGCATGTTGCAACATCTCCTCGCCAATGTCCTGGTACACTTGCTTCTGAGATGCATAGTTGATGTCTGCAGGCTACAGAGAGGAGTGTGGACAAGAAGATATTTGTCAAGGAGCTCCTCCTGCCTCTCCCCAGCCCAACGCTCCACGCGGGCTCGGCCTCCCACTGCTTACCGTGGTATGGGACCAGTAGGAATAGTCAAAGCTGAAGCTTTTTGGTGTCTCTTTGGGCTGCTTCGGGTTCAGGATAGCTAGGGGCAAACAGATGGGAACATGAGGCAACCTGGCCACCCATGGTACTCCCGCGACCCACATCCCATTCATAAGGGAAGAAGGGTGATGGGGTTCAGTCTGAATCACAGCACCCTCCAGCTCTGCAGATGGGTCCAGACCCCAACAGTCCCAGCAGAGGAGGTGGGTGCCATGGCCAGCAGAGCCTGCACCAGCCGAGAGCAGGGCAGAGCCTTGCCCAAACATCCTGTGGGCACAGTATGGGGACAACGGCTCCTTCCCTCAGGTTCCTTCCTGCTCCGTCATCTGCCTGTGGGATCCCAGCACTGACACCAGCAGATCACAGCCTTCCTTCACCCCACAGCTGGGGGGCCATGCCCAAAGCCACATGTGTTGGTGTTGTGGGGTGGGAGCAGCCACGGCCCCATCAGGGCTCCTCCAGGTCCCTGCCAGCTCCTGCCTCTCCTCCCCTGTGCTTTCTTTTGGGTACCCAGCCCCAGCAGGGTGATTAATGCCTCATGTTAGACTGCCAGCGGAAACAAGAGCCTGCTTTTTCCCATCCCCTGAAAAGGACGTTGCCATGGAAATTGCAGACTGAATCACTTCTCTTCCTCACTTGCTGCTCCTTTTTTTTTTTTTTGCCCCTGTAGCACATTTATTATGGGTTCTTTTCTGAAATAGCAGATGCATCAGAAGAAACCCAAACCAGCAGGGTAATCACGAGATCCAGCCATCAGCCATGTTAGGTGACACTGAAATGACCTTGTGGGCCAGCACAGCACAGTTCCTGTGCCCACAGCTTCCAGCTGCTCCCTGCCACCACCGGCGACAAGGAGGCCATAAAGCACCAAGGCTGAGAGCAGTCCATCAAAGCCATAACCTGCCCTGCCCTGGGGCCAGTGCTCAGCCAGGGCTTGTGCCTGCTTGGGATTCTAACTGGGACCTTCCCCAGGCACGGCGCAGCCTGTTTCCCGTGGGGCTGGATGCCCTGGTGTGTGGCGTTATGGATATGGATGCTTTCTGCTCCAAATTCCTCCTCCATTGCCACGACAGATTATCCCCCTGGAGGGATCCGCCACTTCTGGACTGAGACCTGTCCATTCCTGCCCACAAAAGCACCAAAGCGAGCAGGCAGAGGCTGGGAAGGGGGGGGACAGGATCTAGGCCTGACCACAAAATCACGGCAGGGTGCTGCTCAGTTGCCTCTTGCTATGGGCAGGAGCCCTACTGGTGTCTGGTTGGTGTGAGTGCATGTGAGCGGCCATTGCAAAAAGAAGCAGGGGCGGAGGCCACACAAGAAGTCGGGTGGAGCACCTCCAAAGGGTCCTGGGGTTCACCTGGCAGCTCCACCACGCTGCCTGACCCCCGGCTTGGGTCTGTCTCTGACCTGCAGAAATAACTCTTGCCAGAGTGAATGGGAGCAACACCACAGAAAAAAAAAAATCAGTCCAATGGGGGCAAAAGCAGGAGCAGGTAGGATGGGGCCACACAAGGCGGCTGTTCTGCATCCTAGTGCCAGCCCACGCTGTGCACAGGGTGGAGAAGCAGCCGGGGACGGCACCGAGCAGCTCCGGGCATCTCAGCTGCAGCTGCCCAGCTGGTCTGTCAGGCCAGAGACCAGGACATGGAACAGAAGGGAGCACACCAAAAACAGCTGGTCTCCTGTCCCCAAGCTGAAACGCTCTCCCCACACCCCTTTAATTACCATTTATTTACCCCCAGCGTGGCTGGATGCTGCTGGTGGGTTTTTTCCTCTCCTGTGACCAGGCATCCCAGGGCTTTTGCAAAGCTGCTGCAAAAAACTTGTGCTCTGGCCAAAGGGGATTAAAAAGGAGGTGGGAAAAGGGGGAGGAGGGGAGAGCAGACAGACATACAGACAGAAGGGAAAGGAGAAAAACATCTGGACACGACCCTTGTCTTCACCCTGAAGAGCCAGCAGCATGGCAGAGTGTAGTGAGTGAGCAAGCACCGAGCAAGATAAAACACAAGGCCCACAGGAGAGAAAATAATCGCCGTATTTTAAAGCCTGCAGAAGCACAGCTCCGGATGGAGAATATTAATGGCCTTGCGGGATGAAAGCCAAGGTCCCTTCCTCGTCATCCTGATGGGAGCTGCCAGGAAAGAGGCCGGGGGTGTCGGTGCCTGGTCTGGTCTCTGCAGCCATGCAGAGGAGGGGACACCACGGGGAAGAAAGCAGTAGTGTTGGCAGGCAGGCAGGCGGCCACCACGCAGCAAGCCAAGGGAGGGGTGGCTGTCAGTTTGGGGGAACGATGACAGAAAAGGGCTGACCCCTTTCCGCCCCAGCCCCCAGCCCCTGCTGTCCCCCCACAGGGCTTAATGCATTAGCCAGAACAACCAGCTCCCCCGCCCTGGTACGTGCAGGGGTCTCTGCAGGGGATTAGCTGACACTTTGTCTATTCATGGAGAAAAACCCCGCTGTCAGCAAAGGGCTGGCCAGGGCACTGCCCCTGCCCACAGCCCTGCCGGCCCCCCCAGCGTGGGCAAGGGCGTGAGGGACCGGAGGAGGGTGCAGACAGCAGGGCTGGGGGCAGCAGGACGGGCACGGGCAGATGTCTCCGAGCAAACACAGCCGTGGCAGAGGCAGGGGATGCCCAATGCTCTTGACCAGGCCTGGGGAGTAGAGGGTCCCTCCACACCCCCACGTCAGGGCCAGAAAGACTTTCCCACCACAAGGGGAGCAGCTCCACACCCCAGGCAGACAGAGCATCACTGCACAACCGGGCAGGGAGAGCCCCCGCCGAGATGACAAGAGACCAGCAGACGATGCCTCACAGACTCCCCCATTCCTCCTCCCCAGGTGAGCGAGGGGCCTGATGGGGTCACAGAGCCATTCTGCACCCCTGGGTGCCCTCCTCTCCCTCCCCCCGGGGTTGTCATGGCAGCCCGGCAGTGCACACCGCGGGGGTGGCTGGAGCCGGTGTTTCACCCACTGCTGCCACCAGTGACGCAGGAAGCCCCAGGCAGGCAGGGAGGGAGTTATTTTAGATGGTGTCCCATCTGGAGGCTTCCAGAGCCAAAGAGGAAGGATTCAGCCACCTTCCTCACCCAGTACCACCCAGCAGGTGTCATTTAAAGAGGGCGAATGCTGGACAGGCTCCTGACAGGATAGGCAGTCCCAAGCCCCCATGCTACATCCCTCCTCCCAGAGCACAACGTTCCCTTGGCAAAGCCCACTCCCACCCCTTCATCCTGCCGGTGTTGCAGCCCCAAGTGCTGCAGAAGTGGGGATGGGTGCCACAGTGTGCAGTGCCCAGCCAGGCAGTGCTGTCAGGAGCTGCTCGTGGGCCAGTGCGTGGTTTCCATGCTTGGGCGGGCAACCACAGGCTGGTCACCCTTGGCCCCACATCCACGCACCACTGATTCCCAGCTCTTCTGATACTTCCTACCCAGTAGGGATGCTGCCCCATTCAATACCACTGAAATCCAGGGGCTTGGTGCCACATAGATCCTCCTGCTACCATTTCAACAGCAGAACTGCATTTCCCCCGGGAAAGGTGACATCTCCCCTCTGATTTCCTCCTCCAAACAACCCAAGGTGCTATTGCATCTGCACCAAAGACCCTGGCAGCCTAGTGCTTGCCGCTGCAGCCAGACCATGCACGGTCCTCCCCTGGAAGCACCCAAAGTCTTCCCGAGCCCCTCTGCCCCCGACACCGGCACTCACTGGTGGTACTTCCTGACATCTGGATAATGCATTTAGATTCCCGGCTCATCTCCCGGGAGTTGAAGGGCCGGACGCGCACTGCCACCTTCACAGATGCTCCCGCCATCGCGCCAGCCGGAGGTGGGTCCTGCTAGCAGGGAGCAATGGCTGTCCTGCAAGGAGAGGAGAAAAGGGGATTAGGAAAGCCTGCACCTCAATCTCCATCTCGCACCTGTGCCAGAAAAATGAACAAAAAGCCTGTACAACAAAACCTCCCAGGAATGCCAGTTTGCCTCTGCCCGCAAGATGACATTTTGTTTCATCCTCCCATCTGCCCGCATTTTGCCTCTCCTGCCTCCCCCTTGTATCTTGGGTCAGGATCCCCTGCTCTGTCTCAGGGGGCATCCCTGCCCTTAACCCAGGACAGCACCCAGAGCCTCCATCATCCTCAGCATCACTCGGTGGGCACCCACAACAGTGGACAAAGCCACATAAGCACCATCAGCATGACCTCTGAGGAGCGGTTTTTCCATCCTGGGGTGCCAGTGGCACTGAACAGGTGCCCCTCACTTCCAAGCAAGCCCACAACCCCCTCCCTGCCCATCATCCAAGCCTCCTGCACCAGCAGTAGGACTGGGTGGAGGTGGAGAGAAAAATTATGGCATTAGTGTTGAGAGAGGAGGTGGTTGTTGAACACAGCTGCTGGTATTTGCCTCTCATTCAGCTCCCCGCAAAAGCAGAAGCACAGCATCAGCAAGACCAGCACCAGCCAACAAGCTGGTAGGGATCACACTCAGCTGAAGCTCCCACCTCACAATCATTTTTCCACTCCTTTTGCTAATATTATTAATCACAAACCTCACAAGACAAAGCAAACCATTCCTTAACACCTCTCAGAGCAGCCACTCAACCCAGCATTGGTGTTCGGACTCTCTGCGGCTGGTCCCACCTTTCCCAAGCCCTAGTTAAGCCTCACTAGTTTTGGCCAGAAAAGGATGCTGGAACCCTGGACCACCAGGTCCTTCAGGATTAGCCCTGATAAATTCCATTCCTGCCTTCCAACTCTCCTGCCCATTCCTTGCTCCCTAGCTCCCCATGCTGAGCCTGCCAGCAGAAGAAGAGCTCAGCACCCCGCAGCACGGGCAGGCACCAGCTCCTCTGGCGTTCCTGCCTGTGGGATTCCTGCAAAGGTGCTTGCAAATGCCCTGAGGCTTTTTGAGCCTGGTCTTTTCCAGCAGGAAGGAAAGAGATCAGGAGCGAGCAATGGCACAGCTCTGGATACACAGACCATGACTGGAAGGAAGTTGAGCAGTAAGGATGGGACTTCAACACGAGACGGGTTTTCCCATGGTGGAAATGAAAGATACAGTTGAATTTATGGAAAAGGAGGAAGGAAAAAAAAAAAGAGAACAAAATAAAACCACAGAATGGAAAGTGCCCCAAAAGAAGGGGATGGCTTTAAAACTAACCAAGGTTTGACAGCTCCCATTTAATTTCCAAAGAGGGTGGGAAGGAAACAAATGTATGCTCTGGCCAAAGGCAGGTACATTCATGGCACAGTGGAAAAATTTGCAGGCAGAAAGTATTACAAGCTCGGTGCTGTCTTTCAAAAACACTTCACCAGTTTTAGAAGCAAACATGCATCCCCAACAGCAGGCAGATAAATCTCCTGTTAAGAGTTCCCAAACCCTCCTCTCACTGCCCTGCTGGGATGGCTCCAGAGCTCCCACTGTGTTCAGCCAGCGATTATGCCCTTAAATCCCACCAGCTCCGGAGTTCAAGCATTTGGTCTTAGGCTTTCTTGAGCATTGGTTATTTTAAGCGGGCATTTAACACCACCATTGGGTCCCTGAGCCAGCGAGTGGGCTGCTGCACACTGACGGGCCTTTGCCTTCCCCACTCTGCTGCTGTCTCAGATTGGGGAGAAAGGAAAAATTAAACAGGACTCCTTGTCAAAGGGGATTAAAAAGTTGGGTTTTCCTTGAAACAATGGGATACAGTCCCGGGTGGAAGGGCTACATCCTCGTGAGGTGATCAGCTCAAGCTGCTCCATGCAGTGGCACTGCTGGTGCTCAGGGAAGATGGACTTGTTGCTAGGCTAAACTGCCTGCAGCGCCCGACACCTGCCTGTGTCAAACACGCTCTCTGCCCCCCAACTTTGCAGTCTCTCCAGCTCCCAGGGCTATGAAGAGGTGCGTCAGGTTCCTGGGCTCCTGCCTTGTGGCACAACACATGGCAAGAGCCATCGGCACCAGAACGGCACACCCATTAGAGACCCCACCAGCCCCGGCATGGACCACTGCCCACCACGGGCAGCTTCAGACCCTGCCCTTGTTCCCTCCCACTCCTGTGCCATTCCCATCACATCCCCCTCCAGCCCTATCATTTCCCATGAAGAAGCTCGGGTTTCTCCTTCGTCCCACTTTTCCGGTGCCTTGTCTTGCTGCGTGCCCTCTGTCGGTGGCTGCTTGCCCTCCTCTGCTGGGAGAGCCCACTCAGCCCCACACCACTACCCCCCCAGCCCACCCTCATTGGCCATGAGAAGCCCCCTCCTCACTAGCAAGACCTTTCCTCTCTCCCTAATCCCACACCCCAGCATATTCCCAGCAAGCCCTCCGGCTCGCCTAGCCCAGCAGAATGAGCTCCTCTCCCTGCCGACATTCCCTGCCGCACAGCATCAAGCTCGGCTCCATTTTCTGTCTCCATCCACTTGCTTCAGCTTCCTTGATCCGCAAAGTGCCACTCCCCTCCTGCTCTCCTGCAGCTCTCCAGTCCCATCTCTGCCACAGTGCTGCAAGGACCCCAGGCAGTGCCGTGCCCCTTTGGGGAGCGCCGGCAGCCCCCAGATCCTTTCCAAGCCTTCTCTCCTTCCCCTGACTCTTATTTTCCCGCCTCGGCCGCAGGGATGAATTCAGCCTGCAGCCCACAGAACATGGCAGCACCACCAGCCATTGCTGGCCACAGGCGCTCAGCATCCCCCGGAGAGTGGGGATGCACTGCAGCGGGCAGGCTTTGTGCAGGCAGGGCAGGGGCAGGGGCAGGGGCAGGGGCAGGGAGCCTCCGCTGAGACAGGGGGGTGGTTGGGAGCCCAGCCAGCTCGCTTTGCCTGGGCACAGTCAGCCACTGCCTGCTCAATCCACCATCGAGAGAAATTCAATAAGCCACTATCAGCCTTTCACTGGGAGCAGGTCAGCACCACAACCCCACTCCCTGCTCCCTCCCTGCCTCCTCCCGGCACCACCCCACACACAAGGGAGGCAGCAAAGAAGGACAGCAGAGTCTCCGGGGCCATGGTGGTGCCAGGGGAGGGGGGGAGGAGGGGGGATATGTCTGGCCCTTGACCTGTCCCCTAAGTCTGCAGGGCATTTCTTCCCCCCACGTCCTTTGCAGCCTGCTGTGCTCTGCACACCCCTACCAGCACACCTGCCAGCCCTCAGTGATGGGCGAAAGGCCTAGAGAGCAAAGATTAACTGCATCAGCTAAGATTAATTGGGCAGTGATTAGCCAGCAAGAGCTCTCTTAAGTCCAAGGGCTACCAACTGGCAGCCCTTCTGCCACTGCTGAGAAGTGACCAGTGGGATGGGCGGCATTGTCCCCAGGTGCCACCTGCAGTGAACCCTTCCACTGTGGGAAGAGATGCTTCAGGGACATGCTGTGCTGCCTGTCCCCTGGGTGCTGCAGGACACTGGGAATTCAGTGATGCTAACATGAGTAAACACGGCCAGGGTGTCCCCGTTTCCTGCCACCCAGCACGGGGCAGGGGCTGCCTGCAGCTCTGGCAGATGAAGAGCTGCCTGCACCAAGGGAAATCCAAGGAGAGTTTCTCCTTTTGTCTGCGCTCAGCCCTGTGTCACCTGGGTGGCCAGGTTGGACGTCCCGTCTGGCTGTGCCTCCTGAGCCATGATGCTCTCAGCCACCGATGGGCTTTGTTTTAATGAGCCCTTCCCCTGCATCCCTCTTTGGCCCCCCCCAGCTCAGCCTGGGACCGCGGGACCCTGCCCTCCCTCTGGGAAGAGTGGAGAACCCTCGGGGCCCAGATGACGCGGCACCATCGCCTGCTTCCCGCTCCCCTCCCACCCCGCACGGGGCTGTGACAGTGCAGTTTTCTCCAGAGCAGCACCCATAGGCAGGGAAGCAACTGGGAGGGTGAGGTGCTCCCACCCATCCCCAGCTGAAATCCAGCCCCCTGCTTCCCCGGTGCCATCATGGGCACTGTGCCTCTTCACCTCCCGCCCACCCGGGTGGGGAACACGGCTTTGGGGCACTGTTTGCAGCTCCTTGAGAATTTCAGTAGGGATTAAATTGGCAAGTAGCAGATTTAAGGCCGTGGATGAGAGGGTTTGCTCCCTATCCCCACTGCAAAGGTAAGTCACCTCCCACTGTCACCCATTCCCTCCATCCTCTCTTCTGCACACCAAAACCCACCCTGGGGAAAAGCCGCATGGAAAAGGCAGTGAGCTCTGGTGGGTTACCAGCACAGCTGTGCATGGAGAGGAGTGCTGGGCAGCCAGGGATACTAGTGGCGAAAACGTGTCCTGACACCCACAGGGTTTGGGGGCTGCAGCTCTGGCCAGAACACAGGGAGGCAGAGGGGTGGTGGCAGCATCTCTGCCAGCACCAGCTGCTATCTGCCAGACAAAATGGAGGTCAGAGGCAGTGTGTCGGGATGGCTGGAGCCCACCACACCCCTGGTGGTACCCCAGGAGAAACGGCTGCTGCCCCCTTCCCATGCCAACAAGGCCACCTGCCGAGGCGCTACTCTGGGCACTGGGGCACGGAACGACGGCTGTTGGGTCGCAGGGGAGATGCTCATTTGGTTCCTTGACTTCCCCAAGACCACAGCTGAGGTGTGGAATTGTAACAAGCAGGAGAGCCCAGCATACAGGGGGTCTGTGGGGTTCAGGGGAGGGGATGCTGTCCCGTGGGGGAAGAGAAGGAAGAGGAAGAAGACAATGGGGCAGGTGCAGGGCTGCTCCCTGGGAGCCAGCACGGCCAAGCGCGGGGCTCCGCACCAGCCTGTCCACCCTGGGAGCACCCCAACCTTCAGCCACAAGCCATCGACGCTGGTCTGCAGTGACATGGCAGCCTTTGCCCAGTTGCCCCCAAGGTCGGCAGCAGCAAGGACAAGCAAGAGCCTCGGCTTCGCGGCGCCTTCACCAGCCACCCTCCCCGGGCAAGAGCCCCAGCTGGGAACCCACCGCTGCCTCAACAATGACAGAGCAAGATGGCTCAGCTTCGTGCCCAGCCCCAGCGGGAAGAGTGGGGGCGCCTCCGGGGTGAAAAGGGGTCCGTGCCCCCTCCCGCGGGCTGCAGGGATGGCATCTCCTCCCTCCCTACCCCAGGCCGGTGTTGGGGCTGCAGAGGCGGGATCCTTCTGGAAGCCGGGGCGGCACCTGCCGCGCTGGGGACCCGCGAGCAGCCATCACCCACCCTCCCTCCCCCGCGCCTCGGGGGA